GTTAACTGGTAACCCTCCGACTACAAAGCCGATCTGGCATGTGCTACCGTCGCCCAAGATGCCGCCGTGTATCTTGGTGTGTCACGCTTGCTTTATCACTGCAAACTATTTTAGAACTTCCTCGATGCGGTGGTTCATGTGGCCTTGTAGTTGTCCAATGTCGTGTCCCGTATCTGCGATGCGTATTGTGTCTTTCCCTGGGTTTGCCTCCATGGTCGTTTTGAAATGGCGGTCGTTAGTTTCAACAGCCGCGCGAAAACTGATTGGCCTCGTGCCCGAGAGTCTGGGCCACATCGTGGGCTCAAAACGATTCTGGAACCTATCCCGCATGATCTTCATCACAATGGGCTCGCCTTCCTCCAAATCGTCGTCGTTGTCGTCGTCCACGTCGCCGGCATTGGGCGACCCGGTTTCTGCGACGTGGGCCCGCGCTGAATTTGTGTCGGGGTTGAACATCACGACGTTCATGGGCGCGCCAGGACTTTCAAACCGTGGCTGATCAGTGCGTCTCGAGGCCGCGGCGTGGCAAGAGTATGTACTTCAGGACACCATGGACGTTTAGGCCTTGCTCCAACGGTTTGTTGAATGCCATCGGATGGCGGTTGCACAAAGTCCTCCACGGGCGTTCTTGGTTCGCGAGTTGACATAACTGATTTCCACGCGCACAGATCGGAGCAGGAGCGCAATTCATGCGATGCACATAATGGGGACGCTTGGCGCCTGAACGAACTTGAGCAAAAGTTGCTGTTGACCGAATATCCCGGGGGCGTCGGCCACACATTGTGTCGGGTCCTTCCAGCTCGTTGGCGAGCCTGGTCGTGTGCCTGGGGCTGCACACGTGGCGCCGCGACCAAGGCGTCGGCGCGCTCACGTTGACACCGCAGGGCGCAGCGTGCCATGGTTCACCAGAGGCGACATTCCACGAGCAATTCTTGCAACGATGTCCCAGCCAGCGCATGCATTCAAGGGCCCCCACTTCCCTTACACAAACATTGAAACGATCCACTGGAGTTCCCAGCTTTCGCGCCCGAGCCGCCTCGCGGGGGCTCATGGGCGCCCCGCGTGCACCGGGTGGGTCCCCCGAAATTTCGCCACCACGATCGCGCCCGTGACGCCTCGTGGGCGCTTGTTGGCTCCGTGCCCTGGATGGGTCCGCTGAAGCTTCTGAGGTTCGCTCCCGTACCGTCTCATGGGCGCTCGTGGATGCCCCTGTGCCCCGGGTGGGTCCGCCCACGTTCGCCGCGTTCGCGCGGGTGCAGCCTCGCGGAGGCTCGTGGGCGCCCTGCTCTGGGTGGGTCCGCCGACGTTTCGCCGCGCGTGCGACCGTGCCGCGCCGTGGTCGCTCGCGGGCGCCCGCGTTTCTGGGTGGGCAACATGCTTACGCAACATAGATTACACAGTATGGCCGAGATCGCATAGCTCACGCAGCATAGCTCGCACCATAGAGGTCGCAACGCATAGCTTACACAACATAGTCCGCACCATATAGCTTACCCAACATTGCTTACACCACATGGCTCACACTGCGTAGCTTCCACTACGTAGCTAGCAGCCCATGGCATACGCTGCGTAGCTTTACGTCGCTCGCGCACTATCATCCAAAAACTGCGACTTAGATCATATACTCTGGCTGGCCCGTCCCTGTTGCAGCCGGTCCACTCCACCTTCACTCTGGAGGTTTGGCTAGTCCCGCGCTGACATGAGTTTTTCGGCTAGGCGTAAAGGTGACCCTGGGTAAGAGTGACCTTTGGTGCGCAGCTTTTGGGGGCGCGAAAGAGCCAAACCCAAGGGCGCGGGCCGCTTATGTCGCATCGCGCTCGGCGATCGGGGGGAGCCCGATGAACCCGCACCAAAGGCCACTCCGGCGAAAGGTCACTCTTACATGTAGTCGAGTTTTAAATTTGGCGTGTCTGACGCTGTGAAAACTCGCTGTGAAAACTCGGTTGTTTCACAACTCGTGGTCCACACAGACTCCTAGCACTTTGTCAGGTCGAGGAAGATCGTCCCATGTGTTGGGAAGTGGCAAGGCTCCTGGACTTCTAGTTGTTTGACTTCACATCGTCGTCTTTGTGGCCCGTGCTGCAGGTCATGGTCTGATGCTTGCGTGTGATGAGACTGACGCTGGTTTCAGCTGACGGGGTTTTGGTGAAGGTTGTGCTACTGGCATGTGGTCTGCCAAGCACTGTGGGTCGGGCTGCGGTACATGGCCCGATGGCTCTTGGCGCTGGCGCAGTCTGTGACACGACGCCCGCACTCCCTCTGACGCCGACCAGCTCTGCCAGGACACGGTAGGGCACCGCGACGAACCTGGCTGCCCAGTTACGCCGCCGCCTCGGCGCGGAGCTCCGCAGCTCGCCCGGCGCCGGCGCGCAGCGCCGCTGCTTCAGCCCCTCTCTGTGTGCCGCTGCTGCTCCTCCTGTCCCTGGGTCCCTCCCGCCTCATTCAAACTCTGCGGTCCCTCTTTCTGCAAGGTGCCGAGGAGGCATCGGAATCCGCTGGC